AACTGTGCTCATGACCTGGGGTTCAAATCCCAGGTAGCCGGCTCAAGGTTGACTCAGCCTTCCATCCTTCCGAGGTCGGTAAAATGAGTACCCAGCTTGCTGGGGGGGCAATGTGTAGCCTGTATAATTAAAAATTGTAAACCACCCAGAGAGTGCTTGTAGCGCTATGGGGCGGTATACAAGTCCAATAAATAAATAAAATAAAATAAAATAAAATAAAACAAACAAACAAACAAACAAACAAACAAACAAACAAACAAATAAATAAATAAATAAATAAATAAGACAAAATTTTCACAAGACAACATTAACCGCGGAACGAATCATCTTGCGAGGCACCAATGTATTTATATTTATATGTTTTACTATGTAATATTGAAACGATCTGCTGACTTATTCAATTAAAAACGTTATGTATGTTTGGGGGGAAAACGTGAAGCAACAAGAAACATGCAGGCTAGAGGAACCAATAGTCAAAGTAAATCACATGAAAGCCCTTCTGTGATGGTGGTGGGGAAACTTACAGGTATCCTGATTTAGGTTTCTGAGATGTAATTTCTAGAATTCTTGGAGAGTTCCAGAAATTGAAGTTGAAATTGCAAAAGACCACACTTCTAGTGCATAAAATTGGTGGCTCCTACTTTGGTCACTCACAAGGGTCTGCACCTCCTCTGAAGAAATTTAAACAGGAACAATCTGAAATGCATATGCTGGGAGTGCTCTGTAAGTGTCAAAATGTGTGTGTGTGCACATGCACAAACATGATTTCTGATTACACTCCCCAAAAAAGATGAAACACTATCAGAAATAAATATCATTTCCCAGAAATGGAAAATGAATCTGTGTATATTGAGCACAGAAACTATCATAAACCAACTGCAGAGACTTTCAGAGATTCACAAGCTTTTAACAAGTTTTCGTTTCTTTCTTTTGCTTGGTGAAAAAAGGACAACAAACCTTAATTTGGTAGCTGCCAGTGATGTGGACAGGTCCTTGGGTCTGAGTCCCAAGTCCAAGTCTTTGGTACCAAGTCTCAAGTCCCAAACCCAAGTCCAAGTCCCTATCAAGAACAAACCTTTTCTCCACAGAAAAAAAAGGAGGGGTGGGTATGTTCCGAGTCACAAGTCGAATCGGAGTCATTAAAAAGAAACCCAAGTCAAGTCCAAGTCAAGTCACCAGTGTGACTTAAGTCTGACTTTACAGTGAATCCCATGAATCAGGTGTCCATCCATGGTAACTGCTTTACTTTAATTCTAAGAAAAGCAGAAAAATTCAACTATTATAAAATATGCATTTTGGTGCTATATTCTCTCTCTCTCTCTCTCTGAAAACTTACCTTATGAAGTTAGCATTCAAAATCTCTCTTGCATGCTTACTAGTCACGTCTATAAGCTATAAACTGGCTAAACGGCTTGAGCCCTGGATACCTGAAGGACCGCCTCCTTCCATATGAGCCTACCTGGCAGTTAAGATCTAGCCAGGGGGACCTTTTGAAAGAGCCATCCCTCAAGGAGGTAAGAGCAAGGGCTTTTCGGCAGCTGTCCCCAGACTATGGAATGCCCTCCCAGTTGAGATTCGTCTTTCGATGTCAGGCCAAAACCTTCCTGTTCCAGAAGGCTTTTAATTGAAATAACATCAACTGTGGGTCCTGATGGCAATAGAGTATCTATTTTAATTGTATTTTAATCGTTTTATCTTTTATTGTATTTTAATTGTATTTTAATTGTTGTAAGCCACTCAGAGAACTTTGGGTAGAGTGGGCGGCATATAAGTTAAATAAATAAATAGTTTGGTGAGTTAGTTATCTGTCTGTGGAGCAACAGATTAGGAGTTTGATCTCCCACAATGCCTCTTGTGTGCTGTCACTGTGGATTTTTTTGCATTGGTTTTAGTGATCATATCACCTGAATCAATTTGAATGGATCTGGAGTGGTGTTGTTGTTTTGTTTTGATTTTTTAAGCAGAAGCTCCAGAGGCAAAGGCAAAAACTATGGATTGGGCTGAGAGAACTCTGAGCTGATTCACATTTCCTTTTGCATCATGTGGTCAATGAAAAAAAAACCTGAATCGTCCCATACCAATCCTGGTTTCTCATTTCCCATTGAGAATGAGTGAGGATGAGTGCAGCAAGAGTCATTGATTGGGTGTATATCAAGCACCCCTAGACCAGGGTCTTACCCCAGATGCCACTTCCTGACCAAAGGGGACATAGAGAGGCACATCAATCTGCAGTCACTAAATTCGCCCCCTTGACCAGCCAGCCAGTGAAGGTCTTGGCATGTGGTAGGGCACCTGGCCCACAACCCAACTCAGAGGATGTGCAAGAGGCAGAAAGAGCAGAAGTAGCAATAGCAGGAGGGGATGGGGACCCAAGGACCTTGACCAGGCTCCTGCACTAGAAGCCAGCCCTGTGGAGCATTAGGTAGCTCAGGACTACACTAAAGCCCCAATGCCATCCATCATCAGACTGTTGATTCCCCAGCGCCCGTGGTGGCAACGTGGGGTCCAGCAGAGACCTAACCACTCAGAGGGCAGGTGCTTGGAACTGTGTCACTTGAAGGACTGACACAGTCCTTCTGGCTGGCTCCCCTCCTTTTCTTCTTCCCCACTCCCTAATCATAACTGAGTTTGAGTAGCTCTGTGAGGCTTTCATTTATGGAGAGTAGTATGCCTTGCCCTCACCCAGTTACTCACATCTTTCTCTATAAAGAATCAAGAAAGAAAGCAGTCAGCTAAAATGACACAGGAATCCCCCAAGAAGAACCATTTTAATTTATCAGTAGGCACTGTTACTGTATTGTCCTCCAAGAAAAGAACAGAAACTCAGAAATTACCCTCCGGAAACTTTGCCTCTGTGTTGTTGTGGTTTTCTCCCACCTTTTTCATCTTCCTTTCTCATTTCAGGTATTTCTTCATGTTGCTATTAATGAGCCTTGCTCTGGCTTTTATTTGTTCAGAAAGCTGGCATTTTCCAGCCAAGGGCAAGCTCAGCATTGTAAGGAGGCCAAACTTCGGATGCACAAATTATGTGCCTACGGAGAGCACAATTGCTTCTTTCTGTATAGTACTTTGGGGAAAGGGGACAGGGAGGGGGGAGCTTCCAATAGGAGGTCTTACAGGCTATAGCTCATGAATACAGCCCTCTAGTTGGGGACAATCTTAATTCCTGTATTTCCAGTGGACATATAGAATTATTTACTGTTATGCTGATTAGATTATTTGTTTTCTGTCTTCAAGATACTGTGGAATTATATATTCAGAGGTATCTAGGTTGCTTAGGTATGCTTATGAAAGCAATTCATTCTTCTTACACAGACTCAGTGCATCAACACAACACTGTAACAGCATCTTTATAGTGCTTTAACTTCCATGGTGCTGCCCTTTAGAATCCTGGTATTCATACTTTGGGGAAGTACCGTACTTAGAATTTGCTGCTTGAGAGCTCTAGTTTGGTAGTTCAGGGGAGTGGATCTCAACTCTCTAGCAAGGAATTCTACGTACTTCCCCAAGGTGCAGATACCAGGGTTCTGTAGGATGGAGCCATAGCTAGCTAAAATGGTGACCAGCTGCTATAACTATGCAGTGTAGAAACATTCAAATATTGCTGCCTTCTACCAGCTGTAAGAAAAACAGGCCTGTAGCTCATAAATACTGGATTGCCCATCAAAGCAGGCTTGGAAATCAGCTCTCCTACTGTGTGGCATTGGATTAAAGCATGCATTGTTCTGCCTCTGTAGAATATTGGCTGAAGTTCAATGCAAAATGAAAGGATTTGACAACTCTTTGCCAACATTCCACTTTTTGGCAGCTGAGTAAAAACTCTATCCATGTTTTCGGATTTATAAGTAGGCTCCTCCCTTACACACTTACAGCTACACACATGCAGAAAAATCCGTTCAAGGTTTAATGTTTGATTCCATTTATGTTAAATCTATTTAATTAACAATTTATCATTTCCTTATTTGCAGTGAACTATACAGAAGGACTTGCCAAGTTTTTGACTGATTGCCCCCAGAAAGAGCAGATTGACAAACTTGACCTGGAGCAAATAAAGCCCATTTGAGTTTATAAAATAATGTTCCCAATTTCAACTCTCTTGATACTTGTTTGGTTTCTATTTAATCTGCTGGAAAATGTCTTGTTTTACTTGCCTCCATCTGGCTTCAGGCAGTGTGATGAATATTATCATCTCAGAAGGAAAACAACCGATGAGAGATTCTTACCTCAGTATTATTTCCATAATTTCATTCAGACCTTTTATGCAGTTTCTTTTGCACTTCTGCTTGTTAAATGGGTATAAATTTACACCCTTCTCTAACTGAGTGAGACTTTGTGAGAACGCACCCATTAAAACATAATTAATGCTCCACCATGGTGGCAAAAGTCAAGGATGGCGGATCTCACTCAAATAGAAAACCTTACAACAAACAAAATAGCAGGAGAAACATATAATCTCCTTTTCTATAGAATAGTGAAACATTGGTGTTGTTTCTTCTAACTTCAAGGTTGTATTTAGCAGCCATTTAACCATAAATTGTTTCTGAAATGTTAGCTCAGCGTCAGAGAAATATGTAATGCTTCTTCAACATGCCACGTGTAGAAGGCTCCTCACCTAAATGGGAAATGGGGTCTGAAGCTTGTCTCCTTCCACAGAAATGAACAATGGATTGTGAAACCTGTCTCCTTCATGTTAACATTTCGTGTGCTGGTCTGTTGGAGGAAAAACCAACAAAGTGCTTACTTCATCCATTTGAGGAAGTACAAAGGTCTAACTCAGCATCCCACATCTTGTGGTTTGGAGTAAACTCCTCTTAGGCCCATCTAGCATGGCCAATGGACAAGCATGGTGAGCTGTAGGACAAATCATTTTGCAGGACCCAGGTAAGACAATGCTTCTGGCTTCAACAAGAAATGCACCCATCATTTACAGGGAGATCAAGCAACAGCAATTGTTTGGCTTTGTTTCAGACATTAGGAGATCAAGCATGTTGTTTTGCTACCTCTGAAAAATATTTGACATGTGTTGGGCTCAATTAAAAGCACATAAATTATACACTGGCGGTTTCCTTTTATTCTTTCCCCTACAATTTGTACTCCTCCCATTTTTCTTTCCTGCCCTCTGTGATGAGCCACTGAAACAAATGTTTCATTTTCTGCCAAAATAGTTGAGGCCTCAGGGTTTTAACCAAACCTTATAGAAGGGCTATAGGAAAATTTATTTTTCTAGTCAAGCCTTCCTTAAATAGCATTGTCTTCCTGAGCTCTTGTGCATTCCTGTAGCCATTTGGTCAAACTTTGGTCCTGCCTTCTGTCTCGTTCCTTGTTCCTGCCAGTTTGTCCTTCAGTCTTGGCTTACTCTTCAATGCTGACTAATGACCTTGAGCCATGACTCCCAGACTCCAGCAGATATGGAACTGGCTTGGATCGGTTACATTTTGGGTTCGTATGTTGTACCAGCTAGTATAATGCTGCAGCCCAGCCTCACTATGGAAATCATCAGAGAAGGTCAAGAAACCATCCTGCAATGACTGCATTTAACCATAATGGTCTGTCTTATCTCTGATTCGCAAATGCAAATGCTCTTTTATATTGACTTTCCCAATATTTTAAGCAGATTCAGCATTGACTATAAAAGTGGGGTGGAGGATCCATGTGGCCCTTGTCCATGATCCAGAGACAAGAGTATGTAATGTCTCTATTGTGTGTGTGTGTGTTCTGTGCCATCAAGTAGAAACCGACTTATAGCACCCCTAATAGGGCTTTCAAGGTGAGATATTTTAAAAGTTGTTTTACCAGTCCCACTCTCCTAGTGAGTTTACATAGCCAAGTGGGGATTCGAACCCTGTTCTCCAAAGTCCTAGTCTGTCACTAAGTCCAATACAGTACACCACATTGATATCTCTATTAGACTGCTAAAAACAAAATCACAAACAAAAGCTCACTTTTGGACCACATACGCCTTCATCTGTGGATGGTGTAGGGGGAAAAAAGGCAAGAGTTCCAAATACCAGCTAGACATCTAGCCATGATTATCTGAATTCTTGTATTTTTTTCCCCACACCATCCACAGATAAGTGATGCCCAGCCTGATGAAGATTCATATGATCTGAAAGCTGCATTTGTTTTTAGTAGTCTTTTAAAAAATAGAGGTATTGCATACCCTCGCCTTTGAACAGTCACTATGGATGCTGAACTGTTAGGTGCTCAAGGCCAATCCCAAGCTCTTGAAACTAACAGATTTGCATTTATGTAAAGCCAGAGAGAGAGAGAGAGAGAGAGAGAGAGAGAGAAACTCTCAAGCTTATTTCTGCAGCTCCTACTCTTCAGCAATATTAAACAATTGGAAAGAATTTGAAACTCCATAACCATTTAAATCAGGGGTCTCAAACTCAATTTACCTGGGGGCCACTGGAGGCAGAGTCTGGGTGAGGCTGGGCCGCATCACATTTTCCACCAAGTGGAGCAAGAGCCTGAGGAAGCTACCCAGGAATTTCCTTAGCCCGGCTGGGGCTGTGAGGAGGGGTGCGCGAGCCCTCGTCACCAGCCACGACTCCCTCCAGCTCCTTCTTCACTACCACCACCACCAGCAGCATCAGGACGAAGGAGCAGAGAAGGGAGGGAGTGCTG